CTCTCTCTCTCTCTCTCTCTCTCTCTCTCTCTCTCTCTCTCTCTCTCTCTCTCTCTCTCTCTCTCTCTCTCTCTTTCCTTCTTTTCCCGATTGTAATTCTATCTATAACGCAGATAAAAATAGAAAATTAAATTTGATTTAAAAATTTTTTTTAGTTTTGCAATGCAAATATCAAATGCCAAAGGAAATGTCACATGGAGGATCAATAGTTTAAAACATTTGAAACATTATCCTATGAATATCGCATAACGAAATCTGATAAAGAGAACAGATTTATACAAGTAGTATTATTGTATAGCCTCGAAGGTAGCTAGATGATATGCAACTAAAATCTTTTCTCTTTTATCAGGCATTATCATGCAATATTTATGGATACATAATACACACTGCTGTGTTCCTTCTACAGGCAACGATTACCTTCCAAGTATCGCTTGATAGAAAGCAGAAACATTAATACGCAACGGGACACATTTGATCATCGCTCGCCATATCCTGTTTGCAAATGCCGTTAGTCGCAGAAAAAATTTAAACGGAACTGCTAGTTCCCAATTAGTTTCTAACGGTTTTCTCATCGATAAAGAAAAACAAATTCTTCACCGAGCGAGCACCGTGTGTGACGAGCTAGTTCAGAAATCCACCATCAGCGCTTGCGTCTACGATTCGAAAATCAAGGAAAGATCCCAATCTCAACGTCATTTCTATATCGTGACTTTCTCCGCGGTTAGACGATCGTTTGATGTATTGGCGTGTGTATGTGTCGACGGTGCTTGGAACGCGAGAGAACGGCGCGCGTCTGTCACATCCTGGCGGAAATCGCGGCTTCAGAGATCACAAGAGACGACGATGCCAGGGAAGACGGCAGGTCATCAGCACGCGGCGGAGCGCTCGTAGCCGCAACTAGCGAACATCGTCATCCTCGCCGATCGGATCGGCGGCCGACTTGGGCGTGTGTCTCGCATATGGGAAAGGTGGTTTTGTGTTTGTGAGAGAGCGGCGCGCGAGCGTGCGCATGAGAGAGAACAGACACGCACGGTGGGCTTTTGACGGATCCGTGACTGCTGCAATGGCGACGGCGCCTGGCGACTCGCCTACTTTCTAAGCCTCGCCGACGGTGAGAGGTTGATCGCGCACGATCCGTCTCGCGTTCGCCATCCGTTTGGACTCGTCGTACCGACGGGATTATCGACGGCGACGACGACGAGGCGTCGGGTCCTGACCGAGCCGTCTGCATTCACGGGAAGTGTGATCGCGTGTATTATTTCTCGTGGCGATGTAGCAGCAGCCCTCGCAACGGAGTGCCCGGAGGAGTCTGGATATATCCGGAGAATGCGCGGAATCGCCTCGGGGCCTCCCCTCGTGGATGTGATCCTTCCCTCACGGCCCGTTTCCTGCCGCGATATCCAGCCGACAGTTCCGTCTGTTCTGTGCCGCCGCGATCCGTCATCGTCGGGACAACACAGCTGACAGATCTCGTGTTCGCGATTCGATTTCACGAACATTGATCGTTCGCCGTGCAGAACAGCGCGAACGATTCGGACTAGTCCACAGCGATCGGTGATTCTATAAAAGTGCACGTGTGCGATGCGTTCGACGCCCACGTATTTTTAGCAATCGCTATTAGACGGTTGTCATATCAGAACTTTGCTTTTCGCGCAGCGATCGGTTGTGTGGCGTCGTATCGATTTTCACGTGGCGATCGGTCGTTAAATGCGAGAAGAAGCCAGACGGCCCGCTTGAGAAGAGAAGACACTAGAATCGATATAGATCGGAGGACCACGCGCAAACATGGGGAACTGTTTCAGCAGTCCGACGGACGTGGAGAAGGAGAAGACGGACAGGATCGGCAATCCGAGCATCGAGGCGGTCGCGTCGCAGGCGAGCCCGGTGCCGACGCCGCCGCCGGATCCCATCAGACCGATACCGCAGATCCCGGACACGGATGTCACGACCGCCAAGATATTCGTCGCTCTTTACGACTATGACGCGCGCACCGACGAGGATCTGAGCTTCAGGAAGGGAGAGCACCTGGAGATACTCAACGACACGCAGGGCGACTGGTGGCTGGCGCGGAGTAAACGGACCAGGCAGGAGGGCTACATCCCCAGCAACTATGTCGCCAAATTGAAATCGATCGAAGCGGAACCGTGAGTCCTTTCGCACGATATGGATCTGTCTCGTGTATTTTTGTCTCCCGATAACATAATTAAAGCCGATCGACTCATTACAGATACAAAGCGGAGTTTTGTTGAAGTAACGTGTTTCGAGACAGATTGAATTAAAGTCTTAACGGGAGGAAGACGTGGGACTCGTGATATTCATTGTGTTAATTTGCATTTTGCAGATGGTATTTCAGGAAGATCAAGCGAATCGAGGCTGAGAAGAAACTGCTGCTACCGGAAAACGATCACGGCGCGTTTCTAATAAGAGACTCCGAGAGCCGACACAATGATTACTCCCTTTCAGGTAACGTCATAGGACGATAATAGAAACGTATCGGGCGCGCGCTCCAAACGCGGACGATACAGATATCGAATAAATGAATAATGACCGGCGCGATGGCGCGTGATCCCGGTGTGAATTTACGGGATCATTAAAGTATCAAAGCTGAGTGTATTGATGATTGTTGCAGTGCGCGACGGTGACACGGTCAAGCATTATCGTATTCGCCAATTGGACGAGGGCGGCTTCTTCATCGCCAGGCGAACCACGTTCAGGAATCTGCAGGACCTCGTGGAGCACTACAGCAAGGACGCGGATGGCCTGTGTGTCAATCTGTGCAAGCCCTGCGTGCAGGTGAGTTTCAACTCCGGCGCGATCGTGATTCCCACTGCAATAACGGCGATAATCGACCGGTAGATAGCGATCAATGCGCTATTATACTCGTTATTGCTGACAATCGCGAGTTACAAGTACTGAGGAGGAGTTGAGACGCGTTCGCGTAAATACATTTATTCCACGCGCCTTGCGTCATCGCGAAGTTTCGCTAAGTTAGGCAGGTTTCTTTATCAATGAAGAAATGATATGACGCGCACAAAGAATCTGCGCGTTACACTTAATGAAAACGCTTTGTCGTTCGGGTGCTGCGAAAGAGCCTTGACTGAGCGGAAATACATTGACGTCGAATGCGGAATCATGTTAGATAAGTTTGAATCGAGACGAATGATAAAGAAGAGTGTGCGACTGCAAATAACAAAAATTGAAGAAAATTTTCCTTTAAAAAATATGCGCAACAAAAATCGATGGATTACGATGTACGATAAAAAGAATGTACGGACTATAAATAAAAAAAACGAAACTAAAAAAAGATTTCTCCATAAAAATTGCGCAACGAATTGCAACAGAAATTAATTGAGACCTTATTATTGGATTGAGAAATCGGCTTAGCATTCCTTGCCTACTGATGTCGTATAATCTAAACTCCACACTTACAAAAGCAACGATGCGCGATCCGACGCGCTTGATTGTTTGTTTCGATTGTGATATGGCAATAATTATGATTAACAATATTATTACTATTATTATTGCTGATATTAATGGATCAATATCTTTCTGTTATACTATCTTATTTTTACTTCAATTATTTTCAGTGTTATTATCACTAATGCGGGATACTTCGAAATTTCGAGATTCCGTTTTTTAGATAACACATTCTGAAGAAACATTTACAACAATTACATCAGCTATACATTGATACATCCGTGATTCTCAGACTTCCTTCTTTTTTTTTTGTGATAATCGCGAATGAGACGGAAGTGCGATGAGACTTAAACGTAACACTGTAAACGAGGTATATGCTTAGATTTATAAAACGACAGATATCAGTTTTTAGAAGCACTGATAAGCAATTCTTTGCCAAGTTCGATGTCTGAATAGACTGTGTTTGTTTGTCTGTTTATTGCTTGCCCTACCTCCCGATGGATTTTCTTGGTAAATTGAATGTCCTAATATACGCCATAACACTTTTGTTTCTCAATTCTTTTTCATTCTTTATTTTCTCGACGTAAAACGCTTCTCCATTTTTTTTTTTTTTTTATTATGTCTGGCCTGTACATACAGCACAAGCCCGTTCTATACGGGATTATGTTTCAAAAGCAGTAGATTGTCATTCACTTAGAGAATATATCTCGTATAAAAGCTCTCTGTACATTCGATGTAATTTCATATTTACAACAAATTATCTCACAACATCAATTCATGTAGCATCTTAGATCGCGCGAGAGGTACATTAGGTAAATATCAATGAACCGAGATTCGTAGCACACAACGAAAGTAAAACGACACTTTTCCTTCCACTGCGGGATGCCATTCGCTCGCTCGTGTGAATAACAATTTACAAAGTTCTTTTCATATACGTAACATATGTGAGCTCTCTGCTCCCCGTAACTCGTGCGAAAGCGAGAATCGTACTCTTGTCGGCGAATGTATGTGTGCTCGAAATCCGTATCTATATACAGGATGTCCCAAAAGCGTTCCACGCATTCCTATGTGTCTCTTCCGTTATTCGAGAGCCGGACGGGCAATAAGTGCATCTATCATGTTTCCGTTCTGCTAGCACGCGTTTCTGAGACACACACACACGTTTGAGACATTCTGCATATTATATCGTTCATTATTTCATTTTTCCTCTTCGTCTTTCTCTAAAATATCTCATAGTTAGAAAAGCGATCGTGTTTATCGTCCGGGATTGTTAGATATTGGGGTCTCTTGCAGGACACGGAGGGAAGTAGGTTTGTATTCGCGAAGTGGGCGAGAGGGAGGAGTTTAAAAAAAAAAAGCGTTAGCGTTTCTTTTTCCAGTGTGCGTAGAATTGTCTTTTTCGCTTAGAGTTTGTTCTCACAAGGGAGACGGGAACGAATAGCGCGCCATTAACGCAGCCGATTAAGCAAACACAAACTCCATCCTTGCACATGATCAGGTCGCTCACAAGTCCGCCGTTCTCCTTCCGCGTCGGCGACGGCTGATTCTGGGTCTGGCTTTGTTCAACAGGTGGAGAAACCCGTAACCGAGGGCCTTAGTCACCGCACGCGCGACCAGTGGGAGATCGATCGTTCGTCGTTGAAGTTCCTGAGAAAACTGGGACAGGGCCAGTTCGGCGAGGTATGGGAGGGTCTGTGGAACAACACCACCCCGGTGGCGATAAAGACGCTCAAGCCGGGCACCATGGATCCGAAGGACTTCCTCGCCGAGGCGCAGATCATGAAGAAGCTCCGGCACGCCAAGCTGATCCAGTTGTACGCTGTATGCACCATGGAGGAGCCGATTTACATTATCACGGAATTGATGAGGAACGGAAGTTTGCTGGACTACCTGCAAGGTAGGATAAAGCGAAAGAAGCGAAAGCGGCGAAAAGGTACGGCTTGGCCCCACTGCTTTTATTTTTTTTTTTAATTTTTTTCAATTTTTTATTATTTCAAATTTTGTTCAAGAACGTTTGTACAATATTTTTTTTAATCGAAAAAATTTATTTTTTAGTTTTTCATTAATTATTAATGTTTTAATTTAAGGCGATAATTTCAACGATTCAGATTCAGAAACCGATTCTGAAACACATTCAGAAACAAATTCAAGAACAAGTAAGTAGGTGATTAAACGTACAAAGAAAATATTCTAAAAAAACAGCAGATGAAACAGTTTTTACCTGACTGTATTTACACATCAATGACAATATACGTTTATACGTATATTACTGACATTGATGGTTGGAGATATTCAGCGTGAAATGGTTTGCAAAAAATAAAAAAATGTTGTAAGTTAATTTTAAAATTAAAAATTGGCTTTTATATTTCAAATTTTAAAAGAAAATTGTTATGCGTTGCTGTTATTTCTTGTTGAGTCTTTTTTCATGTACGATATTAAATTACATTATTTTTGTAATAAAGATTATTCAACCAAAATGTAGTAAATGATAAAAAAATTTAAATATTTAATATCTAATTATATTCAATTTTTTTGTAAATATTTTGAAAATAATTTTTTTAGACAAAATTGTTCGATTTTTGTCTGATTAACCTATGAAAACTATTAAGAGAGAGAGAGAGTAAATGTATTATTAAATAAAAAAATATTTTAATAATTATTGTGGTAAAATTTTCTAAAAAATTTGAGATATTGCCTTTCTCTTCTGACATTGCACACATTTATTTCTCAAAGTTTCAAATGGAACTTGAATAAATGAGATCGTTGGAAGTATCTTATTATTTGTTAATGTTCTTTTGAATTTGAAGTTTTATTAATTTCAAGTCTCGAAGTCGAAGTTACTATCTCAGTCTTGAATGTAGAACACGGTTATTGATCTATCGTTTAATTATACACTTTTACTTTTTTGATTAATCTTTCAAAGTGCGCATCCATCCTCCTGCAACTGCCGCTGCTACAAAATCGATAAAGCTAACATTTAGTTACATTTCTATTTAATCGACGATCTTGTATAATTTTTTAGGTAAAGGTAGAGGCCTAAAATTGACGCAATTAATTGACATGGCGGCTCAAATAGCTGCTGGTATGGCATATCTGGAATCACAGAATTACATTCATCGAGACTTGGCAGCTCGTAATGTTCTCGTGGCGGATGGAAACGTTGTGAAAATCGCAGATTTTGGATTAGCTAGGCTTATCAAGGAAGATGAATACGAGGCGAGAATAGGAGCGCGCTTCCCTATCAAGTGGACCGCGCCCGAAGCCGCCAATTACAGTAAATTCAGTATTAAATCTGACGTATGGTCCTTCGGTATTCTTCTCACCGAATTGGTCACATACGGTAGAATACCTTATCCAGGTGAGTCTTATCTAAGCTCTATCCTCTATGTATTCTAATTAAGACATTAGATGCGATAACAACGTAAATAACTTTACATGCAGTTGAGAAGTTTAACGTTAAATGTTTAACATTTGAATTTGAATAATTTGAAAGAAATGACTAGTGGAATGAATTTTATTTGCATTTATGTATAATATTATGTATATTCGATGTATAAAAAAATTTAAAGATTTCAAAAAACTGATTTCACGATCATATTGTATTGTCACCTGCATTCAGTCATTGAAATTTTTATTGAATTCATGTAAAAAAGTATTTTTACCGTCAAGATCGAATTGAAATGTAAATGTGCTCTACTCTTCAGGTATGACGAACGCGGAAGTTCTTCATCAGGTGGAACATGGTTATAGAATGCCATGTCCACCTAGCTGTCCCGACACGCTTTACAACATTATGCTGGAATGCTGGAACAAGGATCCTATGAAGCGACCGACCTTCGAGACGCTTCAGTGGAAACTCGAGGACTTCTTCACCATGGAAGGTTCCGAATACAAGGAAGCATCCGCGTATTGAATGAAGGATTTCAAAGTTTTCTTCCACGTTACTCCATTGAGAGATGCGATAGTTTAAAGTTTTCTTTCCCTCTCTTTCCCTTCTTTCTTTTTTTTTACGTTTTTGTTTTTGCACATTCTGTCTGCCATAAAACTCGAAGAACGATATTTGTACATTTTTACCTATATGACTCGAGAAACATACATTGGCATTTTGATAGCTCCGTTAGGAGCGGCGATACGGTTTTAGATAACATTTTAGATCGCAGTAAGGATGTTATACATGTAGACGTTGAATGGCCTTTGTAAAATCGTTCGTAAGTGTCAGTTAGTGTGAGGTAGATCTTGATCATAAACGGTGGTAAATTCCGGTCGGTGATGCCGCGCGATCACGCGCCAGTAGCAATGTAATATATTCGTGTACAATGTATAAAAATTGTACTTCCCGTATTATACAATTATCGTTACATACTACGAAGCGATGAGGAGTGTCAATCTCTTGGTGAGATCGTATCGACAGCATTGTAGACGACGGACCACGCGAATGCACAACTTTTATCATTCCTATTTTCTCACTTGAGCGAAGGCGGATACGAAACGATTTCGCGCACGCCGTGTGTGTGTGTGTGTGCATCGGAGTGCGAAGATCGGAGATTTATAACCGGTCCGTCCAAGACAACGCGCATAACGCTGTATCTTGTGGCGACTGCAGCGTCGAACGACGTTTATCCTTTCGTCTATCCCGTCGATCTGTCACGAAACGACTAATACTGACGTAAACTGCCGGTTAATGTTTTTCTAAGGTACACTTGTCACTCGTAACGTGTAGGATCACCCTTCGGAAGTATACGCGAGAGAGTGTGCATCTATGGGAATATCCCATGCATCGAATAAACATACCGATCTGCAGCGGAGACGAAGAATCGACGAGTATCGAATTTTTAAGTATTCCGAGAAGAGAATATGCATTATGATTTTTTTTCTTGTGTATCATCTTCGTTGATCATCATTCGGCCATTGTTCATGTTATCAAATTCATTTTTATATACTTTTATATATCGTATCTAACATTTTATTGTACTCATTTAATACGACTTTTCACGCTAGCGAATGACTCGAAACTTACGAATAATTATTATGCGTAAAAGTAAGCGAGTAATATTGAATCGCGCATAGGTGCACTGTGTCTCGCTGTTGGTCGCGAGTCACGTGTCTCATGACATATTTCATAAACATTAAATCTGTAATGATAAATGTGTGCGTGATGAAATATTATATATAGATATTTTAGCAATACTTTAATCTCCCTTTTTAACACACGCGTGCGCGCGTGAATGTGTACGGAATGTGCCAAAATCATCACCATTCCTTTCGCCCATTCGATTCTACAGCGAATTTGGAGTCGATCTTTCCGTGATAAAAGTTTTACTGGAGATTTTTACGATTTTAAACAACTTTTGCATTAACTGTTTTGATAAACAAAGTTTCAGAATTACGTTGTTTATAGTGTTTAAAAAAAAAAATTAAGAGAGCTGGCTCCAATTTCGTCCGAGATACGCTCCGAAAGTTTGACGCAAACCTTACAAAATACACACGCGCAATGCATATGTATATACGTTTGCATATGCGATATTAACTAGCATCCATCTTCTGTTGTGAAGTCAGAGCTGTGTTAATAATACCAAAATAATCACAAATTGTAAAGAAGTGTACTGACAGGCGGTACCGCGTGATAAATTTTTGTAATACCGTTATACTGCATCGATCAACTTTTCCGTGGGAAGTGAGATTTTCTTCCATTACGTGCTACTTTATTTTAAGTCTGAAAGCCTTGATTTTAGCGAGGAGACATATTATTTGTAATGAAACATTGAAATAAGTAATTTTACATTTTGAAGCGGAGATATTCTCGCAGGTATCGCCAAAATTGTACGCAAGAAAGCTATCGACAATTATCAGTTGTGACGACATTACACTAAGAGATGAATAAGATAAAGAAGCTATCAATTATATATAATAATAATGAAATGTAATGCAACGATTGCAAGCACAAAACGGATGAAAGTTTACACTGGAGTTACTGTTAACTTATATCCAGGCAGGCTCTTTTCCTACAATTGTGAGGAAAAGTGATTTTCAATGGAATCACAATGTAATACGAAACCTGTGGCGAGTGAAAATATAAATACTTAGATGTATAAGAAGTAATCGATAAAATAAACGCAACAGTTTTGTTTACGAGATCGGAATCATTTATGAATATCGCATAAAGATTGAAGACACCAGCAAACGTGTACATATAAGAATAATTCCAGTTAGTATGTCTAAAATATATTTTTATAATAATTTTATAAAGAAACTATTTTATATATGTATAAAACAAAAGAGTGGTTGCACTCTCAATTGATTAATAGTTTTTCTAAAGAAAACATACAATAACATTTTATTATTACAGAAAAATTTTATAAAAAGCTTTAAATTTATGCTTTAATTTAAGCTTTTATTACAGAAAACTTTCAATTTTATTTTTATAGAAAAGTTAAATTTCACTTTTCTGCGAAAATAAAGTTTAAAGATTGAGAAGTTTGTATTAGAGAAAGGAAGAAGGAGAGGGAGAGAGAGCGAGTGGCTACGACATGTTTGCTCCAGTGTTTTACACAGCGATCCACTAGATATGTACACAAAATCACCAGACGAGATGTACGCGTCGGCGACAGGTGTCTCCTGCTATACAGGTGTTCCTCAGTCGGCCGGTGGTGGTCGTAGCGGCGCGCATTCGTGCGTGCGTGCGTGCATGCCTGCGTGCGTGCGTGCATGCGTGCGTGCATGCGTGCTTCGTTCCGTTCCGTGCCATTTGGAATCGCGGCGCGAGGAAACGCTGCTTGTCGTTCTTTCCTTATCTCCCGCGAGCGCGAAGTGTGTGTTTGTGTGCGTGAGTTTCGCTGCGGAAGATACTTTTTCGCCGAGAGAATAACGATACATCACCCAGCGGCGTGAAAGAAACGCGGCGCGACGCCGCGCGTCGGAGCTCTGAATAATGACTCGGCTGAGACGCAAAGTCATCGACTCGCGAATACCGGGAAGGGAGAGGAGGTGAGAGAGAGAAAGATATCCCTTTCGTTCTCTCGTCCCTTTTTTTTTTTCTTTCTCCGTCTATCCGATGCTGCTTTCGAGTAAAAGCTGAATTTTCACACGCGCGCGGTGCGAGAACGCCGATCTACACGCACGTCCGATCGATCGGAGGACCATGGATTCGTGCTGTAGTGGGATATTATGCTAATCGCGTTTACGGTCAGAATGCGGGAGGAAGAGCTCGAGATATCACTCAAGGTAATCACGATACATTCGCCCCGTTCCTCCGCATATACCTCGTCGTGATTTTTTTCACTTTTCTCTTTATCATTCCGCGAATTCCGCGTGTGTAATTTATTTCACTCGACGCGTACAGAGTGAATCTAACAGAGCGTGACTAAGAGGTTCAGACGCATTTCTCTCATTTATGGTTTATCCGCCGCGCGATTTCCGCCGGCAGGAAAAGCGCCTTTATTACGGCGCGTCGTTGCATTACAGTCGCACAGTTCTTTGCAAAATAAGAAATCGAGCGTCGATTGACGCGTTCTCTTGGCAGTGCGTGGTGAGATTTGCTCTGAAATTAGCTTTCGCCTGCAAATTGAAACCGTTTATCGATACGTGTTTACTCGCAAAACAGCCACTTGATTGTTACAATTGTGCAAATTTACTCGATCGCGATATTTATTTGCGAAATCCACTCGACATTCATGGCCAAAGTACTCAACTTGTTAACTGAACAAAAAAAACCAGACACTCACGATCCCATCGAGGATCGTCTCGATAAGTCTTGCACGCGATTAACACGCGAGGAACGACGTATAATTAACCGGTCGCGGATATCGCCTTATGGAGAATCGTAAAAATCCTTCGATGTTAATTAGAAGGGCATGGACACCAAATTTATCAATTTTGAAATATGTAAATAGCTCTATCAGCAAAACGAACATTTTACGATCCCTCTATTTGGCCATGCGAGTTTCCATAGTTTTGGATTTCCATAAAAATTAACATATTTTTACGAGATTCCGTGAAATTGATTGGAAGTGTGCTAACATTAAACCATTTATATGCAAACGCAATTGAGACGTTGAGTACAGTAAAAGCATAAACAACTTTATAACGTTTTGGGAAACACGAGTTTGGAATTGAAAATCTGAATAATTTAAAGGAGCAAGAAATAGAATTTGAATTTCATTTATATTTTATGTATATTTTGCATATTATTAAATCGTAGTTTTGTTTATAATATTTGCGACAGGAAAGTGTCTAAAAATTTTGAAAATAATGTTCTGCGACAACGTAAATCGACTATGTTTTCGAAGCTTTCAGCGCTCTGCGCAGTACAAACCTGAATATCACGAATGACTGCAAGTAAGATTCACTCTCTTTCTCTTGTTATCTTTTAATTTTATGTTATTCGCTTTATACAATACAAATTATATTCGCCGTAGACTTACGTTTCAGTCGCACTCGACTGCTCGATTGCGCGCGCGCACACAACACACACAAACGCGTTAGAAACAATAAATAAAGAAAAAGGGAAGCCACGGAGGATCTTGCGCATACACATACGAGGCTCGGTGCTGCTCCAGTGATCTCTGCTTATCTCGCGATTGCCGGTAACGGTACCTGCTCGCGTTTTCATCGCGCGTACGCGCCTGTTGCCGGAGACCGCACCGTTTTTTGTGTCCTTTTTTAATTAATCTTGTTTATACAGGTTTACACAGGGTGTTCCGGGATTACTCGACATTCTCCCGATCGCTTTCGGAATCGATTTTCCTTAGCAATCGCATCAATGTCGCATAAATCGTCGCATATCACTGCGATAAAATTAAAAAATTCTACACGTTGTAAAATCAAGATTGATTAGAATCGATGAAGTCGATTAGAATTGCAAATTTTATAATACCGCTGCAGATTCCATTTGAAATTGATCGATGAATGTGATTATGCTTACTTATTTGCGGACAGCACGCCATCCGCGATCGTCAATTATCGCGAAAATGATCGGTGTACGTCGATTTCGAATTAGGATCACAGAACGCGTGGTGAAAAGCGCACATCCGGCACGGTTCCAGGACACCTCGCACTTTTCTCGCTTTCGCGAGAATACTGAGACCAGTCGAAGTGTGCGCGACGCTCAACGATTTATTGTTGCAGAAAGCGCACAAGAACCCGTGGAAATCTACGGTGCGGATTAAATTATTATAGTTGTAAATTTTACCGTATCGATGTTCAATCAGTACTCGATACTTTGCGAACATTCCTGAGATTCGTTCTGACGAGCTATATATGTCAGCTTTGAGTTTTAAGCGCTAAGCCGCGCCGCAGGAGCCAGATAGTCCTTGACGACCGGTTTTTTTTACGGACTTATGTCTTTATCGATGTAACCCACTTCCTACTACTTTACGCGGCGAGCTGCCGATCGTGTTTTGGCAAAATTATTTAGGTTACGATCGTTATCGTTAATTTCGAAAAACCGAGCGATTTATTAAGAACGACTCGCGGCATACATTTTGCGCAAAATTGAAGTCTCCGCCTTCTGACTCTGATCAGATATTAACTGCACATTTATTCCCGTCGAAGTTCACCTACTTTTGCAGACGAATAAAAATGAAAATTTGTATATTTATTAAAATCGTCGAAACTTATTTCGCTTGATTAAATTTAATTGACAAAACTTACCAAATTAGGATTGAAATCATTTTCATCGTGATTGTCGGCGTGCTTTTATTAATGTCTTCCGACTGAATGATAACATTGAATATTTTCTTTATCAGGTGGTGATAGTGGGCAACGGTGCCGTGGGGAAGTCATCGATGATTCAAAGATTTTGCAAAGGCACATACACGAGAGACTATAAGAAGACAATCGGCGTGGACTTTTTGGAGCGTGAGATTGAGTAAGTAATTGTAATGTTTTACAAGCGTGTGTCGAATCGCTTCAAATGAAAATTACCGCTGAACTTGATTTGAAGCGCGGCATTTGGAACAATATTTTTTTAAATAATTTTTATAATAATATATTATTTAATTATTCTTGAATTGCGAATCTTCAAGACATCAATATTAAAAAATCTCTGAGAATTAGAATAGTTACAGAGTGGCGGGAAATATTAGAGAGTTTAAGAGCAAAAGAGGATCCAAGCGTCTTCGATATTTTTCGATAAAGTTACGCCGCGAACGCTGGACGAAGTTAAATCGTTTCGTCCACTGATCTGATTATTCAGTCCCGATCGTTATACCACCACATACATGGATGCGGCCTCGAGAGCGACGTGCCTGAGAAAAACCCGATTTTAATCGTGCCAACGCGCGAGATACCGTGAGATACTTCTCGTAACCCTTCCGAACACCGGCGGTCGACGTAATGTCGGTCAATATAAAAGAAAATTTTGCATTATCCACTCTTTAACACACATTGCACGATCGCTCGCTCCTTGCGCGCTCAGAAATCGCAGCTTGTCTTGATTCATAACTCTAAGTTAAAAAAAAAGTTGCAGAAGGACACACATTTTTAATCTTAATTAAAAATTGAACGAGAATTAAGATTAATTAAGATAAAAATTAGAATAGCGAACATCATGTTAATGGGCAAAAAATTAAAAGTTTGGAGTGACGCGATTAAGGCCAACCTTTTGCCGCCGGTAGATGAAGCAGCGCGCAAGGAAAAAGAGAGAGAGAGAGAGAATATAATGAATAAGAAATATCTTTTCTGCTGACAGAGTTGATGGCGAGGATGTAAGACTAATGCTGTGGGATACCGCGGGACAGGAGGAATTCGACGCGATCACCGCGGCTTACTATCGCGGCGCTCATGCCTGCGTCCTTGCTTACTCGGCCACTGACAGGGATTCCTTCGACGCTATTCCTTCATGGAAGCTCAAGGTACGCGTCAGAGTTTCCTGAAGCGCTCTTCTTCTTTAATCATTTGTAATTTAAAAATCATCGCTTTGACATTTTTCCTGTGAAATCGATTTTCAATTCTTTAAAAAAAAAAGCTGTCCTCTCGAGAAATCGTTTGAAATCCTATACATTGCTGGAATTTCCTCTTGCAGGTAGAGAACGAATGCGGAGAAATTCCTACGGTTCTGGTGCAGAACAAGATCGATCTCGTCGATCAATGCGTGATCAATCCGTAAGTGTGCCAGATAATTTCAATTGAGTCACTGCTGAAAGTTAATATTTAAGACAAATTAATTGGCAACATTGAACTAATCGATGTATACATTACAGGGACGAAGCCGAGAGGCTCGGCCGCGCCTTAGGCTGCAAACTCCTGCGGACGTCCGTGAAGGAGGACATCGGCGTGATGAGCGTCTTCCGGCACTTGGCGTCGCGGTGCCTGCACGAGATCCGTCGCTCCGACGACGACTATCAGGACGACTTGAGATTGTATTCTGTGGAACCTAGATCCCCATCCGTTATAAGTATGAATAGATTCCAATCCCTCCGATATTACTTGCAAAAACCTGTGGTTTATCTCAATGATCCCGCAGTTTATCTAATCACGGGAGTGACGTTGCATCTTTTTTTGCTCACAGGTGCCTTTAGCCCGGGCGGGTCAATATGTCCTCGCAACGCCGCTAATGGAACGATAATCCTCCGGCCGGGCAGCAAAACAAAAAGTCAAAAGAAACGGAATTTCGTGAAGAACGCTTGTAGACTCTTATAGTTATTTCTTATAGAATACATACACGCGTCATCGATGCCTCGCGCGTCCGATTCAGGATTTTTGTTTCAAATTTAACTTTGGATTTATTAATCGATTTCTCGGCGAATCGACAAATTATTCGGATTCCATTCGATTCTAACCGAAAGTGTTGCGGTATCAATGACGCCTGTATGATAATATTACACTGCACGAAGACGCCGAAGAGGTACGGTGTCTTGTAAATATATATAGTTTATTTTATACGCATAAACGGAGGTAATTTACAGTGTCCGACAGTTCAAGTCAGATTCTAACTAACGACTACGATGGTGTGTGTAATCTCAGCTTAATTTACCTCTGATTTTTCTTCTTCCGTTGCTTTCTCCCTACTTTACAATTGTCTGACCTCCCGGCCACGCTAGAGTGAGAAAACAAATGAATGATGGAAGGATATTATGCGACACAGGAAGAATAAGAGAAGAAAGAGAGAGGGAATAAAAAGAAATACAGAAATAAACTACGCGGAGATTAGACTATACAAGGACACGTAATACGCATTTGGGAACTTATTAATTTATACGCAATAGAAATAATTATGCTCATAATTATGTTCATAATTATGCTCATAATGTTAACCAAATGGTGTAGATTATAAGATATAAGAGAAATTAATCGCAAATATTAATTACACTGTGCCTATCCACAGTTACGAACGGGAACAATAACGTAATACGGATTACAACGTGTAATTTGTAAATATCTCGCGTTATCATATTGAATAAATTATCCGTTTTTAAATTGCATGGCATTACAGATCGTATTATAAGGTCTGAATCGTGCCAATATAGCATTAAATACGACAATAATAAAGATAGTAATATGTTATTTACAGATTAAAATGTGTCGATGTAAGTTTATTAAAATCTGACAATAATTACATATCCGCCCATTTCTGTGAGAATTTAGAACTATTGAGCAAAATAAAAGTGCATTTCAAATATAAAGTGGTTTACACAGTGAACCAATCTCCTAAGGCAGACGCCGCATTAAATTACTTAATACTTAGTGCTGTATATGTTATATTTTTATTATGTTTATTCATTATATTACAGAACACAATGAGAATCTCTGTACATTATGCTAAAAATAAAACATCTTTAACAAGTGAAATCTAAAGAAGAGGCTTCCTAGACGTGCACAGCAGTAGTGAAAACGAAAAAATAAAAATAGCCATTTTAGAGCCACTTTTTCCAAAATCGGTTAACGTTAACCGACGATTTCAATTTGTTAATAGAATATATATATATATATATATAAATTATATATATATAATAGAATTGCTAACACGAAGAATAAAATATTTTCATTCGTGTTAGCAATTTTATTAACAAAGTGAAATCGTCGATTAATGTTAACCGATGTTGGAAAGTGATCCTTAAAAAATTAGCGGAATATCTCGATTTATTCGAGAAAATCTATGTTTGATAATAAAATAGAGTTTAATCGCCATTGTTAATCGTTTAAACAACATTAATCAACTATTGTCCATTGTTATATTAGCTCAACTTATTGATCAGCAATCTATATTTTACAAAGTAAATATGTAATTATATTAACTAAAAATGTTAAAAGATCCGTCTACTTTATTTTGAACGTTAGATCATTTGCATAATATTCATGATTCGACATATGCACTCATATAATCTCTGGAAATTCCTCTTTATTTCAAAATGTACATGATAGAGACCTGAAAATTGTTATTATTAATCTTGATCACATTATCGCTTTCTTAAAACAGCAATATTTCTTTCTCTAGAGATGCCTAAGTATCTTCAAATAAGTTCGAGACTCGACTTTAAAAAAACCGAGATCATAGGCGCCGTGGTGTCATAATAGTAAATCCAATTCATTGCTGATGTACTCTACACAAGCAAACATTCTATATAATGTAACTTATTGCGTAGTGGACAAAAAGTGAAGACTTTTATGCGCAGAGAGGACGTAAAGATGTAATTTCCCCGAGTGTTTCCTAAATTAGCTACGAACGCGATAACATTGGAATATCACAAAACGCCGACATTCAAAACCATGTGGAAGATATATCTCTATAAAGTAATATCTAAAGGTTTTCACTGGGTCATCTCCAAAATGTGCATCTTGTCGATATAATCGAGCAAACCCTGTAGCCTTTTCTTCACCCTTTTTTGATCGTCTAATGTACATCCAAGAATAGCAGTCTCAAATATTTTATCGGAATGACCTATGCTATGTGACGAACATGCGTTCATGAATTGCGCACATCTCTGCCGAGTGCCACTTGGATCTTGACGCAAGTTTATGACCAGACTATCGATCAAACCGTTGACCTAGACCAAATAAAAAATAATTAGTTGTCTGCTATAAAAATATATTTCGATATTTATATCAAGCTCTGAATACCTGATGTAGTGCTTCCTGCTGTACATGATCCCGCTGAACAGTGACCAATACATCTACAGTTGAACATCGCATAGACAATCTTTCAGCATATCTTAAAATATCGTCTCTGTCAGCTGAATAACAAAAAAGATATAATTATTTTTAACATTACTACAAACAATATCATCAGTTTACATTTAGAAACAAAAGTATTTAAATTGATGCATATAATTGATGTAAAAATGGTTGAGAAACTTTATGTTTAATAAGTAACAGATTCTAACATGCCTTTTTTCAAACATATTTGATCAAAGATTATAATAATATTAGTTATAGTATGTTGGAGCCATAATGGGCTTATGTACTTTGTTATAAACTATATTTAGAATTAGACTTAGAAAAATATACTTATGTTTTCGTTATAAGAGAAGTATTAATGTTTTTCTATCTAAAAACAGATGTATAGAAGTTGCTGAAGAAACAAAAATGTCTTAATCATTAAGACATCAATGCAAATAAAATTTTCTACTTTTCTGTCTTTCTCTCTATGCAAATAACAATTTTCTTTTCTCTCTTTCTCTTATTAGAAATTTCAGAGCCACTTTTAACAATATTCTTCCAAGAGGCTTCCATTGATCGTAGAAAGTTGATCACTCACGTTCTTCAAGGTCGCACAGCATGTCATTGTTTCTAAGAGTATCCAAAGTCGTCATCAAACTATCCTTTTCCTCCTCGAGCCTAGAAGCATCCTTCCGCAATTGTTCTACATGCACTTCAATTTGATCCAACAGGCCGACTAACCTATCCTTCGATTTCGGCTCGCTGCTCTCTTGTTGTCTATGCTCACTTTCCATGCTGTATCTTTTCGTTTATCATCGATTTTTCAACAAAACGCTCTGATCAGATTCTCGGTGATATAGACACAAATACACGCGCGCTTATCTAAAGTGTTCACGCGATTTTCGTGAAGATCCGCTACGTTGAATTGATGAAGTGTTATGGTTAGGCACGTTACGCTATATAACCAATTCGACTTGAATGTCGCGAATAAGCGCCGATATGAAAAATAAGCAATATCTCCGAATTACAATGTTAATATCTTTAGCTTTCCACAATTTTTCCTCTTATGCGATATAAAAGCTGATAATCTAAAGCGACATAATGCGATAATACGCGATAACGAATCAAGTAGCGAGTGCCTGTGAGTGACAGAAAGATTCTGGAAACCTGGAAACGATTCGATTCTGGTGAATGTCAAAGTTAGGTACATTAGGTGTTTACATGTAACTGTAATAAAATACATCTATACACATAAACCATATAAACAATATCTAACATATATCATAACAATACAGAAAATGCATAATTTGTGGAATTCATATGCAATTTACGTAATTTTATATTTTTTAAATTTTTATCGAACATATTGTTTTAATAAATTTGTATTATGAATATATAAAAGACAAAAATATATTTAGGAACAATATTATTATATTAGAATGTTTTATTTTATGTTCATACTAATAATACATACTAATTAATGTATTTTATCATACTAATGCAGCATAAAGAAACGTACAATCAGAGATGTTATTATAAACAAATATTCTAACTTAACGTTAAATTGTACTACTAAAAATATACGTCTGACTTATATTTTACTCATACTACTATTTTGGAATCTTAGAAGTAAATGTCTCGCCGATTGTTAGTTTAATAGAAAATGACGTATTAGCTATTGTGTAGTTGATTTGTATTATTGAAAAAAGAATAACATTTGATTTATCGTTGACTCGTACAACTTGCTCAATTTTAGCAAAATTCAGCCTAATCGCCTAATCGCGTCCTCTGGCCGTTGAGAAAACTGCAGGACGCGATTAAGTGTCTTCTAGTTGTTGAAAAAATTAGAGGACACGATTAAGCGTTTTACGGTCATTGCAAAAAATTGAAAGACGAGACTAAAAAAAGTTGTCTGAATTGACGTCACTTGACGTTCATTTGCACTTTTGAAAAAATCTTTTTGTTGATCTATCGTTGATGTAGCGATTGTGGCGGCTTGCAGCGGAATTTGTCGAAATTATGACTGTACGACAGAGTTATTAGAGTTGGCAACTCTGCTCTGTTCTTTCCAATTCTTTTCGACGCGTTTTAGGGTAAGTATAACGTGTTGTTTCTACAGTATATTTTATATCTTTTCGTTTTTTCATCATCGTTTACTATTTTACCAAGATGTTTTTTCAACTCTGACTCGAACAAATATATCGTTTTATACGTCTAAATAGTTTTGCGTTTTGCTGGAAGTATTTCATCAATTTTTCGTTCTGTTTCAGGCGTATCTCAGCACCTAATTATTCCACCTAGGTTACAAACAACATGGTGAGTAAACGCATTTAATGATCATACACTTCCACTCTTTTGCTTTAAATATATGTAATAGTACATATGGCTGGTACTTTATTTAATTACGGCAATCAAGATTTATACTTGTACCAACATAACCTCATGTTATCAAATTGATGATATCAAATGAAATAGTTAAGTGAATAATCTATCTTGTATTTTCAGCCACGAGAAATCAAAGAGATCAAAGATTTTCTCCTGAAAGCCAGGAGGAAGGATGCAAAATGTAAGTTGTTCATTCATTTGCTTCTTCTGTCACTCTTGAATTATGTGTAATTAACATATTGGGTTCTTTCCTTAGCTGTGAAAATCAAGAAGAACGCGGACAATGTTAAGTTCAAAGTTCGCTGCTCTAGGTTTTTATACACCCTTGTGATTACTGACAAGGAGAAGGCTGAGAAACTGAAGCAGTCCTTACCACCAGGTAATCATAATCTATAAAATTGCTTGTAGCAACTATAGTTAAAATTGTTTATAACAGTGATTTTTAATGCTTTTTTTATCATTTATGCACTTATAAAAAGAAATTAATATACTGTTTTAAAATATTATTTCTAAAGATCTTAGTTTTAAATATTATAACAAAGTTCAAATATTTTTAGGTCTACAAGTAAAGGAAGTGAAGAGGAGTGAGCGTGTATAAAATGATTAAATAAACTACATTCTTAAACATTAGTGTTTTCTTTAATTTTCTTATGCTATAATTATAGTAATTTCATATTGCATATTGACAAATTAGTGAAAACCATTTGTCGTAGTTTAATAGGACACACACAATACAGCTTCAAATCCTTTTTTTCTTTTTAAAAAACTTATCTTAGGGAAAAATATTAGTTTAATACATGAATGTTATTACTGTAACGTAGCTTAGTTATATCTCTTGTGCATGCACAGAAAACATTTTTATATGAAAGAAGATTACTTTTTATGATCTAAAATGTATTCGAAATAGAGCTATATCTTATTCTTTTCATTCTAATCTTAAAGCCTCTTGGCCTTTGTAACTATATTGAATTATAACGTCAATGATATACGATTTTCTCTGCATTAAATGCCAAAATCTTAGTCACCATTCACACTTGACAATATAAATTTGTACACTATACCAAAAACTTATAGCGTTTTTGAGTGAACAGACTTTGATACATCTTAGATCAATTACTACAAATTCAAATTTTATTAGTAGAGACAATTCAATGACATCATTAATCAACTTTTGTCGAAAATTCATTCATTCAAAAACACTTAGTTTTTCTGCGTTTTTTAATACATAAAATTAATTTACAAAATGATAAGTTTTCACTATATTTTATCCAATACAAACAATAAATTGATTTTAATATATAATGTAAAATGTAAAAAAGTATAAAATTTTGTTATAATTCAACATTGCTAAAAGATCAGAAGCCTTAAGTTATACTTATAATTTGTCCACAAGTATCTCTGATAAAAAAAAAGTCTAAAATAAACAGTATGATGCCTATATGAGTTACCTGCCTGATTTATTCACAGAGATTCTCTATCTTCTTTGAAAAGATGTGCATTTATATTATATACTTATAATCTCTAGTTTAGAAGTACAAGCTAACCATGTATAGCAAATTATTTTTGATATATTCTTTTTGTTTATTTCTTTCTCTCAAACCGCTTTCTGTTCTTTTTTTGCAAAACTACTGACTATATATAAAGTAAATTCTCTCTTTAACCCCTTAACGCACAGGTTTTAATGGTTGATAACAGAATAAACAAAACTTAAACATTCTTGACAAGCATCTATACTCATCAGATACGTATACATAAATAGTGTGATTTTTTAGTAATAATTATTTTTCATACCCGAAGTTAACACGGGCTTGCGTGTTAAGGGGTTAAGATTAAAATAAAGATTATGAGACTGTGTCATTCATCTTCATTAGTCGCACTCATGATAAGTTGCCCTACAAAAGAGTATCACTTGTTTTTAATACAATGCAATTGAAGAGCATCAATTCATGATGAAAAAAAAGAATTACCTTTGCTTGTCTTTGTTACGTTTCGACAATCTCCTCCCGCTGTCTTGTGTCGATAATGTATATCGTTTAGTGTGCACTCGATTTGTTCTGAGTTCTCGCATGTCGGAGATCTTTGCTCGCTCCACTTTTTGCATAAACTTAGATATGAGGTCCGGGCAATTCAGATTCTTTTCCGGCTCCCATGTATCATCAACTGGACCAAATCCCTTCCATCTAATTAAGAATTCTCTTGAACCATTCTTTTTAAAACGTACTTCGACTATTTTCTCGACTTCAAACTCCTTTGAACCTTCTTTTTCTTTTTCCTTAATATTTTCTTCTATAAGAACAATTTACATAAAATTTTTATTATAAATAATTCAAGAAAAAAGTGATATTGTAAGATAAAACGATTAAACACAAAAATGGTATACCATTTTCCGTCTTTATTTTAGAATTTCCTTTAGATTTTCTAGATCTGTCTGCCTTGACTGATCCAGTTTTTGACGATTTTATATCCTTTTCTCTTTCCTTAGCTAAATACTCCTGGATTAGTTCGGGACAACTCAGATCTTTCTCATTTTCCCAAGTATCAGCAGACTCTCCGTAACCTTTCCATCGCACTAAAAATTGTCTGCGACCTTTAATGGTACGCAGATTAATCAGCTCCTCTACCTGAAAAAAGAAATCTCTTTTAGATACAAAATTTTTATTGCATCAAAAATATCTATCAAAAATGTAGTATTACTTGTTGACTATCATAGTTAATTACTAATTGTCATAATAACAGGTTCTAAAATTTACAGATCAAAATACTATAGCAAGATTTTCTATTAAATAACTTATTTAATTAATCAAAAAACTTATTTAAAATTATTAAATAAAAGTTACTTTCTTTAAAACAAAGTTGCAATACATAAATTTTTTATTATAATTTTAGAATTATAATAAACGAATTGTTTATTGTTAATTTCACATATGTCACGAATTTTGCCGCGCTTTATTGCACTGTGTGAAAAAAGATATGCTATAAAGTTAATGATTATATAGCGTTTGCTAGCAATTTTCACTTTGTTAAAAAAAAAAAAAAAAAAAAAAAAAAAAAAAAAAAAAAAAAACAAATAAAATGATACTAAAATGCGCATTTACATAAAAAAAAGATCGAATTGTTCAATAATATTCTTTAACTGATACTTCGTTTCCATGTTTAGTCCAATGTAATCGACAATCGGTAACGTTAAATGTGAAGTGGCGAGATGAATAACATCGATACCTCGTACTCGTTGTCAGGGGATTTGTCCCGAGCGGAGGTGGATGCCTTCTGATCCTCTTTCTTTCTGCGTTTATTAGAAAGTTTCTGTCCAGCGGTCTTCTCGCCATTCGTTTGCTCTTTTTCTGCCGCGGAGTCATCCTTATTACCATCATCCGCTTCCGCATTTTCCGTCGCCGGCTTCTGAGCCGATGCACCGCGCGACGAGCGTCTCTTCGAGGCGGACTTTCGCGTTACGAGCGCGTCATCATTTTCGTCGCTATCGGTGGCTATGCGTGCGCCGCCATTTTTCTCTGATTCGCTGTCGCTTGCCGTCTCCGATTTTCTATGTTTGTTTTTCATGCTCAACCGACGCATAATACCTCTACAGTGCCGTTTCAGAGTGCAACTGGCGTTCGCAAGGGCTCAATTTCGCCGAAAACACCAAGAAACTGCAAACACTGCAAAATCTTCCCGATTTTTGCACTTCTATTTTATCCGTCTTCTTCGTCCTCTTATCGGTTTTTCTCACTCTGCCGGCTTTTCCGTTATTCACCCGCCTCGATGGCGTCGACGATCGGCCGACCGGTCCCTTCCCGCCGCGTTCTAAACCGAACACGAGAGAGTTAGTCCTCGTATTCGACGAAAATGCGCGCGCACTCTCTTATCAAACGTCGCAACAACGCACACCCGTGTTTATATCAGAGTATGCCCGGTAAGTGTTGTTCGACGCGGAGGGACGTTTTCTTCAAGTGGATCGTTGATGCGCATGTGTGATCGTGCACTGCACTATACACAAGCTTCCGGTGATGATGTTTCCGCTGTACAACGAATTTAGTTCCAGCAAAACAATTGAAAATCTTTTCTTAGATTCTAACACAAATGAACAAATTCTTATTAATATTCCCGCCAATATTATTAATTATGTAATATTTTTTTAGAAATTGAAGTCAGAAAACTTTTTATATAGCAATTTAATTCATTTTTTTCAAGAACTCGAAAAGATTGATGTTAAAATTGGGAACATTTTATCTCGATTATAATCTTAACAATTTCTTCCAAGGATGCAGATTAGACTAATTGCATGCAATTTATATTAATGAAAAAATAATAGGAATGTTACCATAGTTCGAAAAAAAATATTAAATATTACAATGCTTATGTATAAGCTCCCGTTCTAACTACGCCTCCTCTTGTTGTCTTGACAACGTTTCAATATGTTTGTTATATCAGCTGTCATCAGCACGACTTGCAGAGCATCTTCCTGCTTTTTCTCTTCAAGCTTAACCTGACTTATATAATAATTAATTAAATTTTTTATTTGTTAAAACAAATTCTCGTGAACATGGCCAAATTTGTAAGTACTTACGAGAAACCCTTGCCCCATATCGGTCTGCCAGATTGGTATGCCAAACAATGGCAGCTTCGACAGAGCGCGGATGTTAGAAGATCTGAGGCTTGTCAACTACGCAATTCGGGTAAAACTGTCCGTGCCGAAGCGAATGTGAGAACGAAATGGGACACTTATGTAAATAATACTCGAATAGCGGACAGGTGATCGCAAATTGCTTAATGCTTCATTGATCTAAAATAAAAAAATATTAAAATGAGAAAATTTAGATTTGGATTTTTGTTTATTTGCACAATTAGAACTGAAATTAATTAACTTCTCTTTATGAAAAAGTCATGAAACATATCTCTGATTGAATATTTTATCTTTGCAGAGTGACGGAATTATCAAGATGGAAAGACACGATCGAAGATTTATTGCAAAAGTTGTTGACCGAGATGTGCTTGTTGAGCGACGAGAAAGCCAATACAGAGAAAGACATTGAAAGTGTAAACCGTCTTCTGCAAATTGTAAGTGAATGCATTTCAACAAGGGACTGCCGTAGAGTTACTGAACTCACTTATGATGAGGCTGATACCGAATTGAAGAAAGAGTTACGCACAATCGCAAGTATTCAAGAAGCATTAACTAAAAGGTAATTAAGGTAATGATATAATTAAAAAAAAAAAGAACCTATATTAATTTTTTATGTTATAGGGTACAGGCCGCATGGGAGAAGTTAAATCATTTGGAAAGGATCAAATTTGAGTTGAACTTAGACATCGAGGACAAAAATGATACCATCAGAATAGACAAGGGAAATCTTAAATTGGATCACATGTGTGCGAACATAAGTTACAAACCGAAGACATCAATTTGCGCCGAGAAAACAAAGTATCTCTTTTCCATATTAAAATTGATAATTAGTTTTGTACAGATTCGTAACACATCTCTTTCCATTTTCACAGTTTGATCACGTACGAGATGTGGTTGGACAGATGTCATCGTTCTAAAATGTTGGCCGAGAGTGAATCGAATGACTGCTACACCTTCCGCGAAGCTACGCGTGTAATGAGGGAGTGTGCGTGGAATGATATCAAAGCTCAACAAGATGTGACGGATTATACTTTAAGAAAGAGAATTTATCAAACACAAAAAGCTAGAAACGAATTGGAATGGCAGAAGCTTAAGGTACTTATAATCATTCTAATCTCTGTTTTGGTTATAATTTATTAATTTCAATGAGCGGACATGGAGTAAGAATAAATTAAAATATAATTGGACATTAATATTAAATGTGATGGAAAAAATAATCTAATCTTATCTGCATTTTTTAATGCAAATAGGTACAACAGGAAATGGAAATGTTAGCGAAGGAAATAACGCAGTTGGAAGCAACTTTGATGAGTAAAATAGGTGTTGTAAAATGCGTCGAGACGCGATTGGAAAATCGTGTTTATCGACCTGGATCGGAACTCTGTAAAGATGAAGTCGAATTAGGTTTGCAGAGCGAAAATTTGCAATTGAAACAAACTGAGGAGGATCTGGCTAAAGTTATTGCGCATACAAAGTATGTATTTGTGTGAATATCCCAAGAATTAATTATTAATAACAAAAGCAATTATTTATCATTCAGCATTCAGCATTCATTTTTTCAAAATGTAAACTTTATATGAAATTAATCTTTCAGAGCAAGCTATAACAGTTTGGAATCTTTACTTATGTGTATCCAAAGCAGCTTAGAAGATAAACAACATTCTTTGAATACTGATGTTATGTGCTTGGACACGAGAGCGATACTGAAGAAAGGTGATAGATCACGTTTGCCTAATGAAACAGATCGTAATATCATGTTAACTTCCATGGAAAAAGAAATTCCACTAGCATCTTAAACTTAACGTTCCATTTGGGTTTATCCGACCCATTTGCATTTTTAAAATATGATAACTTTGTAACTATTGCTTCTAATATTTCCAAATTAGCATAGATATCTAGAATACGAATAACTTATTAAAATAACTTATTAAAAAATAAACTACTTGTGAATTTTATCTTCTCTGTCAATCAGTAAGTGTAAGAACAAGATATCAGTAATCCCTTTTCAGTATAATTTATGAATTGTCCTAGATTTGATATAATATGTGTTATCTTTTTATTTATTATTGCTGTTTTGAAATTTCTTTAACCATAGTTGATGTTTCTTTATTTATATATCTATCTACTCATTTCTTGTCATTTTTTATTTCAACAAACAAATGCTGTGCCCTGTTTACACTTGTCAAACGGGATTTTTTCAGTTTCATTTTGCATATGCGAAAGTTGACTTACAAAGTTCATGTTTATGTAGTTATTACACCTTTTCTCTGCATTTCAATTATCTGTCATGATAATCAATCATCAATTAAAAACTCAGCTACCTGTATCTCCTATATCCTCCTACGAGATTTTTTTTTAGCATTATTTGGAGCATTCAACATTCTTGATGAAGGCAATCTATGCATATCTATTTCGGTTTACCGAATCTTATTTTACTCAATGTGTGATCCTTTTTCATTCGTTCTTATCAGGAAAACATTGTCGCATCGTTTCTCTATCTGCGGAAAAAATACCAAGCTTCAGATGTTAAAAATTTATATTACAAAGTATAAATCAAATTATTGTATATTGTTGTTCGCAGCAGGATAACGAGATTTGAAGAGGCGTCGAAAATAAAGGTGAACGCAACAGTAATATCATTGAAACTAAAAACCCTAAAACAGGGCTATGGCAGCGCCATACTGTCATTGAAATCAAGTGAAATCAGAGAGAAACCACGCTGCCGTTTTTCGTAAGACGCTTTTTCTAGGCCGTACACTAGCGACGCGTACATCCATTTTACAGTCTGCCTGGAACTACATGGTCACATCCATTTTCCGGGATGGTAAAAGAGCCCTGGTTGGTTCATGTCCGTGTTACATCCACAATTTATTGAACAGAAATACGTCTCGCATATAGATATAAATTATATCTATATGTTATAAATTGTATCTATATAAATTATATCTATATGCGAGACGTATTTCCATGTAGTTCCAGGCAGGCTGTAAAATAGATGTACGCGCCGCTAGTGTACAGCCTAGAAAAAGCGTCTTACCAAAAAAGGCAGCGTGGCCCCTCTCAGATTTCTCTTTGGTGATACATACATTAGAGAAAAATAAAGAAACATTTTAAAAATCAAAGAGTAACAATAACATCATCAATATTATTATTATTTACATTTGTTATATTTAAGAAAAATAAATAAGCTAGAAATGCAACTAAAACGAACAACATTCTGCCTATCGTGCACATCACCAGATTTAAAACGCAAGCGTCGGAACTTTATTTTTTTATTGATTTTTCAGAAAATAATAATTTTTTTAAATGAACGGGTACCATATGGCATATCTTTTTACTAGACTAAAACACTTTACTTTTATTTTTTGTTAACAAAATTTTAATTTAATTTTTTAATCTAAATAAAACATAAGGTTTTATAATTTTTTTAATTATGACACGTTGGTATAATATAAGATATATTATTAAACTTGTCTTCAAAAAACTGTTATTATAATAATTAATAGAATAAATAATAACGAATAACGAAATAATAATTAATGGAATGAATAATAATGAATCATTTATATACAAATTTATAACTATAAAAATTAATTTTTTGTAATTTTTATCCTTTATTACCTCAATTCAATTTTAATTAAATATAAATCAACATTCACAAATAAATAAACATTCAAGCATCGAGTATCTATCTATCATAAAAGAAGAAATTTTGCGCAATTGAGTTACTTAAAATTGGTAATAGAAAATGGAAAATACAAATTATATCTCAATAAATAAGAATTGTGTAACATAAATTTCGCATTGTACATCGATTAAATCGCGCATTTCGAAAGATTTATTTCATCGAAATTTATTGCACGGACAGCCGTGTTCACGCAAAGCGACGTGTTTCGTGACATTTTCATTGCGTGGGCATTTATTAATTTAATTTTTATTCTTATATTTATTCATTTGTGTTATAATACGAAATAGAAAAACGCTCAAAAAGCTTTAAAACGCGGAATTTTAATCAAGTAAAATTAATTTTATATTGGATCATGCTGACAAATCTACAGATAAAAATTTTAAAAATACGATACGATACAAAATACGATAGTAAGCGAAAAATAAAATAGTAAATTATTTATCAAAATTAAAATTCTGAACGCCAAAGAATATCTTATAATGTGGAAAATATGGTATATCATATTAGGAATTTCGACGCTGATTCACGGCATGGGGGGGGGGTTGTTTACGTTCGCTCTGTGACCTACGTATTTTATATCCTCTCTTCCTCACTCTCACACTTTCTCTCTTGCACACACTGATCGGCATGTATACATTCCTTTCCCCACTTCTTTCAAATAGTACTTTTCCCAATTTGACCTTATTCTTGAGCTTGAGCTGGATTTTACTATTCGCACGGCGGCACTTGAACGAGACAGACCGTTTCGCGTATCGGCGCGTTATCCCCCTACTTCAATTCTTATTACTCCTTACAATTTTCCACCTTTCTCCCCCTTCCAATCGTTACCTGTTGCGTACGCTTTATCTTTTACACACACACACACACACATTAAAATATACTTTTTTTTTAATACATAAAAAATATTTCGTTTTGTGTTAATTGCAGAGAAAACCAAACTTACACATAGCGTTTGGGGGTTGTTTTGGTCGCGGCGTACGCGCTGTTTACGCATTCCATACTTTCGCTATCTCTTTCTTTTCTATCATACATTATCCTGCTTCGAATTCCCTACGTATTACTTCTGCGCGTGTTATCTTCTAGGCCTGCGCAAAGTCCTTGAGGTATCCTGTGGTATTTTGCCCCTTACCAGTCGCACGGCGGCACTCGTACGGGTTGGATGGTCCACATCATCCCTCCCCCTACCACTCTTACTACTTTCCACAGTTTTCCACCCTCTTCCCCCTTTTCCATCATTATCTGTTGCGTACATATTGTTCGGCGCGGAGTGTCGAGCGTATTCCGTGCGACAAGCGATATCCGAGTTATATCTTTGTCCTTATACGACAAAATCGCGTCGGGAGTGTGTGAAATACCGTGTGATCGTCGTAATAAATGCGCGTCGGGAGTGTCGTTAATGCCGAGAGTTATAGCGAATCTATAGATGAACGCATTTTTGCTGTATGACAAATATTGGGACACGATTTTTTTGACTTTAGGCTTGGCTCGGGGGAGGGAAAGGTCGGTTTCAATCATAAAATCTCGACTACGGCAGGGCAATCTTCGGTTCTACGTGCAGCGCGCTAGTTGTACAGATAGCCGGACTGTCGAAGGTAGTCGAGGACGGCTACCGGAGTTAGTCAAACGCTACCGATTGCTTTTCAGATGCCTTGTATCTAGTCGGTTGATTGGATGACTAATCACCTCATCTTCTTCGAGCTTATCTTTGCCTTCTGTTTTGAGAGAATCGTGCCCCAATTGGTAAATGTGGTCGTCTGAAACGCGGACGGAATTCGCGCGTAACGTCACAGCTTGGACAATTCGGTTCGATTCGCCTGTGATGTCGGGAGTGCCGTCTTAAGTATCGCGCGATTTTCGTGTTCAGGTACGCATGCGAGCAATGCATGCGCCGCGAACGCGTGTGATTCAATGTGAGTGCTTCGAAGGATCACTGAGAGGAGGAGGAGGCTCAGGAGGAGCATCGGGCGCCGGCGGAGCAACTTTACGGTAAGCAATAATTCATTTAT